ATAACCTTATTAGATATATATCGATTGTTTAAAGCTGGTTATATATCAGTTTATACCAAAATCGATATAACCCAGCAGGGGTAATTAGTATTGATATATACTAATGGGTTACCAATCACTATATATCTCTATATAAAATTTCCTGATGATTATATTACTTATATTGACAAACCTTCTGTTATTTTACTATTATTCTGCTGTTATGCTGCTGTTATGCTGTTATTATTTGACAGATATAGAGTAGAATAATGGCAGATTTTTTTCTGTTATTTACCTATTATTCACCTTTTATTTATTCATTCGATCTGTGTATTCAAATTCTAATATATGTTTACTTATTAGTTATACTATTAGAACAAATAATATATAGACTATTTTTTGAATTAAATATAATATTTATTTTAATCATATTTAACTATTCAAATTTAGATAAGTCTTGATCATTTTAGTAGATTTAGGTTGCAGATAAATATATTTGAACTTTTATTCTTGAATATAGTTTTCTTTTATATTTGTACTTAAATTAGTTATATAGTCAGTAGTTTAATGATTAGCTTTAATTGCAAGTTTTGATTTTAACTATAGCATTTATATAAAGTTATTTTTGTATATAATAATTTCATATAGTTACTAACTTTAAAACTCTAATAAATATATAAGCAAGGCCTCATCTTAACACCAAAAAAAAAATTAATCAAATTATTATATTTTATTATTTTAAATAAAAATTAATATATAACATTTTTATTAATATATATTATTATATTTTTAAATGATATATATTAATTAAGTACTATATAGTAATTTAAATTTGTTTATAAATATTGTTAGTATAGTCAGACCTCTCTATAGGCACCTTCTCTATAGTCATATTTGCTTATAATTATATAAATTTTTAAAACCAACTTATATAATGTTTATAAAATTTAATTTCTATATAAGTACAAACTCTCTATAAGCACTAAATTCTTTAAACCAAAGCTGTGATTATAGAAAGGTTTGACTGTATAAGCAAAACCTATAATTAGCTTATAGTTATAACATTTAATATTAACTTTATATAGTAATATATAGATAAACTATTTAAATTAGATACTAAAAATGCATATATAATTAATTGTAATCTTATATATAAGAAAACTCCTTAAAGCATCTATATCTATATAACTTGTATAAAAACATCATTATTCAAAGACAAGAACTTTAATTTTTTTAAAAAATTTTTATTGCTTAAAAGTTTTTTATATTAATTTTAAAAAAATTCCAATAAATATCTTTTAACAAATATTTTATAAGTAAACTATACTATATATAGTCAAACCTCTCTATAATCACAGCTTTGGTTTAAAGAATTTGGTGCTTATAGAGAGTTTGTGCTTATATAGAAGTTAAATTTATAAATATTATATAAGTTGGTTTTAAAAATTTATATGATTATAAGCAAATGTGACTATAAAGAGGTCTGACTGTATTATTAATAATTTATTGCATTATTTAAAAAAATATTAAATATAATTTAAAAATCTATATGTTTTTGTATTATATGTATTAGTATTTTTTATTCTATTTGTTATCACTATTGTATAGAATGGCTGTGCATGGGTTTGAGACCATAGATATTGATCCAAGACCACCAATATTTGTTTGAGACTCAAGATTTTGGTCTCAAACCATTAGAATTTGAAAAGTATAAATGCAACGACTAAACTAATAAAGAACAATAATGAATTCTTTATGCTTCAATTAATAACTAATAAATAAATACATTCCTCAATGACCAACTATTATTAATTAAGAATCCTCTAATAAACATCTATCTCACATAACCTATGCTGTAATCCTGAGCCAATTTGACCTCACGTTTAACAAGTCTCCCTCACAGTTACAATAAGGACTGAACAGAATTTTGTCTGTTTGTCCGCCCACGTGACCAATCACATAAGTGATTGAACAATTTTTTTTTTAATTCGCTCCGGATTTACAACAGTACCTGTTTTCCTAGTAGTAACTTATATGAGAAATCAAGATTTTAACGCGATATAACTCAATCTTAATTACATCTTACAGTTACTAGGGTAGCGAAAATGTTATATAATAGAATTTTTTATAGTAACATGAAAAAAATCAGATGTTTCAATATGAACAAACTCAAGCATAACTGCGGTCACTGGGATAGCGAGTAAATTTGGAACAATTTTTTACAATAACTCAACAATAATCATCACAATAATTCTAATACAAACCAACTTAATCTTAACTATGGTAACTCCAATGCAGTGGTCACCAGAATAGAGGTTTATAAAAAATTTTTTACAATAACAAGTAGAAATTATGACAAACTAACTCGATCTAACATATATGATTACCCGGATAGTGAGCAGGTTTAACAGAATTTTTTACAGTAACATGATAAAACATCATAATAATTTCAATGCAAACTAACTCAACATTAACTGTGTACGCATTTAGTAACCTATGATAGAAATCACAATTATTCTAATAAAAAAAAAAACAACTTGCGTCACTGAAATAGCGAGAGACTTTGTAAAAGAACTTGTCACAGTAATTTATGGTAGAATTTAATGTATCTAAATCACATACGTGTGTATGTACCACGATTGTTGTTGAGTTTTGTAATAGAATTTTTAATAGTAGCTCACTAATACAGTATAATTAAAAAAAAAGAAATACTAAATAAGGCGATCGACCAGGGCGGCCTTCAAATTTGCGGGTCATGTGAGCAGCGCCACTGCCGTAGTTGCATGTAGAGTATGTGTGATTGTTAATTTTCCCAATATAATCTCGAGTTATTGTCGTATTGTTACATTTTTGGGCTAATGGCAGTGGCATTTTTCGCAAATTTGGGCCGTCCTGGTTGATTCATAAGATGGCACGAATGCGCAACCCATCGCACTAGTAATAATAATAATAAACGAAATAGTTAGAATACATATCAAGCAAGTATGAATGGTGAAAAAGAAAACACACATAGATTACATTCGATCAATTAATTGTTAAAATACTTGGCCAAAACCTTAACATCATTAAGATAAGAAGGAAGCCATCCCAGGTTGTCGTTTATGGCAACTGTCAGTCCCACAAGGTGGTTTCTGACAAGCCACATGCTTATTAAATCAGCACAGGGCCATGACAACCCACTGGCCGGCACCGATTGTCGCTTTCCAGCGTTTATGGGGAAGCAACCCATGACCTTCTCGTAAACAGCCGTTCCTTTTGCAAATCCAGCAACAGTGAGAGTGTTGTCTAGAACGTCCATGTACGTGTAAGCAGGTCCGTAAATCTTATGGTATATGTTTTCGGCACGAGCCGCAACATCCGCAGCGCTAGCAACATGGCTTTGCTCCATACCAAACATTCCGTTTTGCCAGTCGGACTCTTGCGAACGTCTACCAATGCATTTCTGGTTGGGACCTATCATTTGTCCAGGACATGGTTCTGTGCAGCTACAATCACAGCTGTCCTGATAGTTGTTGGTTTTCGGATCAGGGATAACGGATCGCCCTTGGCAGAGGTTGTAAGTGAAGACTTCAATAGGAAAATCGGTTTTTGGAGGTAATTGGGCTGGAAATTCAAAGCAACTGCATCGCTTGTCCACGGTTTGGGTAGTTCGGTAAAAATCTCCGGCTCTGAAGATCCCCTCTTTTAAGGACCATGCCGTAACAATGGCGGCAGCGTAAGCCGTAGGTTTTATACTCGAATCGTAACCACTCCAGTCTCTAACGACCTTAGGAAGCGATTCCTTGACCCAGGCATTACCATTTGTGTCCCTGGTGTTTGGAACTGTGTATTTCTTAATCCAATCTACGACTTTCTTTTCGGAAGAACTTAACTGAGTGACGTCGGTGATGGACCATGCAGAAGTGACACTGAAGCAGATAACAAATAGAAACAAAACTCTTGACATGCTTTTGGACATGTATTTTAACATCCACGGAGATGATATCAGATGTGAGTAAGCTATTTTTCTAAAGGGAGAAATTAGAATTCTCAGGAAGTAACTAATTCAAGAGTTTAGGAACACTTAGTCGGTACTACTTTTAGTTGAGACGGAGTGACTTAAAATTGATTGCTTGCGTTAGAGAAAAAAAAAGATGAAAGTAGAAATCCTGATTCATTTATAAGAATCAGTAGAATCAGTGGAATTTCAAAGCATGATTGAGAATTATGTCTTCAAATATTGTTGTCGGGCCACATATAATTGTCAGGCCACATATAGTTGTCAGGCTACATATAGGTTGAGTGCTACAAAGAGTGAAATTAACAAAAAAAAAAGATCTTTGGAAAATCATTTTATGTTATAAATTTTATAATAGACCGTAACCTTCAAACTTCAATAAAAATTGTTCTTAAGAACAACTTTTGTTAAAGCCAAAGGAAGGCTTACTTAGTACTAAATCTAGTTCTGAAGCATTATTTTTTATACAAGAATTACTTAAAATTTTTTAATTGTCACAACGCTCATGTGCGTACTCGAAATAACACGCATATATTCAAAATAACGTGCTATTACGAGAAAATACGGTAACTATACCATCATTATAAAGCAGGCTTCTTTTACATAATTTGACATTTAAAGCATCGATTTACATAATAAATTTGCGTATGTCGAAGAGTCCACGAAAATTACGGGTCATGTGATGATCGACAAAATAACTTAATATTCGGTAAAATTAGAATTAACGTCGAAGTTAATGGTTAGAGCAAAGCTCTTATAGTAAAATTTCTCAAGGAAATGTTTTTATTAGAGCATAAAGGCCGGTTTCTTATACAAGTTCGTGAGATAAAGGAGATTTTTAACAAGTGAACGTTTGTTTTGAATTTTCCTGATTGTGTTACGTTATTATTTATCATTGGTTAATTTGTTGTCGATCATCACATCTATGTCTAATGCTATTGTTACACCAACCAATATGTATTTATCAGGCCATAAGTAGTTATTAGGTCACGGCCTTGCAATTGTTTATGGAAACTTTCTAAGGAATATTCGTTTAACAAAACATTTTAAAAAAGTTCAAATTAATAAATATCAAATAAAAATGGATTCAGTATTATTATTGTCCCGATGATTTGAAAGCAAAACAATTAGTTGAGTAAATGCGACAGATCAGATAATAATGAAATCGGATTAAAATGAAATGAGAGTCTATTTAATCCTCTAAAACCACCTATACAGGGACGATGATTTGCCGTGTTTCACAGAATACCGCAGAATTTTTCTTAAACACAGCTAATCACAGAAATTGGTCTTAATCACAGCAAAATGTCTCAGAATTTCAATGAATCGTGATTTTTATGCAAAAAAATTTTTTCAAGTATGAATATGTATGTAGAGTACATAAAACCTTCATGATTATTGGATAGGAATGCACATCTTTACTAATATCGAATATTATATATGACTTCCGGTTTCTAGTTGTAGTGTAGAACACAGTTTTTCAATATATAATAATAAAATTTTAAATAGCGATCGTCAAAATCCCTCACTTGATTTTTTAAAGTAATTAAGCATGCTATATTTTAACGGTAATTAGGTTTTTAATAAATAAATATATTTGCAGAATCGGTACTAAATTATCACGATATTTTTATCACAGAATTACACAGAATGTGATGAAAAAACAGCACATCGCATCACGGAATTTTAGTTAACCACACGCAGAATTTGGTCTACCTAAACTAACTCTAACCCTAACCCTAGCCCTAAAAAATGTACATCAAAAATTTTTATTTTTCGACTATTTTCTACATTGTACAATTTTCATTCAATCCGATTTCATTTTAATCCGTCACAATTAATACTAAAACAAATACTACTGTACTACACAATTACAGTTATGCATGTAAAGAGATGTTTACGACCAATTTTTCTGGTTTCTGGATCTTAAAACACTGTTGTAACTTTTATTTTCTTATCTAAAAGATTAATGAATTAACTTCGCAATATTTATGTAAAATCGTATTTTTTTCAAAATTTATTAAGAGTTAAAATATGAACGGTATTACAAAACTGATAAAATCCAATTTACATTTAAAAATAATATTGTACGGGTTTGTTGTAACAACCAATATGTTATTTAACAACTAATTTGTGTTACTTTCTACAGTACGATGTTCTAAAGATTAAATAAGAAATATTAAACAAGATTGAGAGTTTGTTTGTGAAACTTTATACGTAATCGGTTTTCATTAATGCAAAAATAAAATTACTATTCTTGAACACATCATTCGATAAACGGGAAAAAGTCATCAGATGAAAAGAAGTCATCGATGAAATATTATTGCAATTTGCAATAAATAACAAATTTGGAAAATATTAAACTTTCACCATTGCACAATTATGTAATATTAAAATTAGAAACGCGTATTATTCTTAATCTTTAAATAATCGAAAAAATATTTGGTCGTTTTTTTTGTTAATCATAGCTTCAAAATCTTACATATAGCACCATTCTTATAAACATGCCATTATTCGCAAATGATTTAGATCGTTAACATCAAAACCATCCGATATCTTATGGAGCTTGTTGTATACTTCCGAAAATATTTAAATAATACTTCGCAAATATTACGAAATCATAATTTAATATTTTAGTATAGCAAATTTCATTAAAATATTTAATACACAATGCATGCGTTATATATTAAAAGTTTATCTCTAATATTTTTCTTTTTGCTTGCTGATGCGTTACCTACCAAACGGTTTAGCCTAACAAAAATTTCGTTAACCAAAGCAGTTGTCAAAGATATTAGTTTATTAGATGAAGTTGTTCAAAGCAACGATATCTGTTATTACGGACAAGTAACAATCGGTACACAAAATTTTAACGTACAATTTGATACAGGATCTTCAGACCTTTGGGTTCCATCCACAACTTGTGTTTCAACTTTTTGTAAAAATAAGAATAAATATGATAAAACCAAGGATCCATCATTCAAAGATCTTAAAAAACCTTTCAAACAAACTTATGCAAAAGGAAATGTATCAGGAATTTCAGGACAGTCAAAATTTTCTATTGCGGGTCTCCAGATAGTAGGCCAAGATTTCGGGATTGTTAATATGGTTTCCGATATTAATGCTCCATTTGATGGTATAATGGGAATGGCATTTGATACGATTGATCAAAAAACACCTATATCATTGCTCAAAACGCAAGGCGTGATTAATCCACCGATATTTGCCTTCAAACTTGGTAGAGATATTAATAAAACGAAGAGTGAATTAACAATCGGTGGAGTGGACTCAACCCAATATAAAGGAGCTATTTTCTGGACAAAAGTAGGTGTAAATACCGGCCTTTGGGAAATTCCTCTAGAAGATAGCTCTGTGAATGGTGTATCAACAGCATTGGGAGCTCGCACTGCAATTATTGATACCGGAACAACTAATATATTCGTTCCGACAAACGATGCCAAAAAAATTTATTCGCACATTCCCTCTTCCTCTTTTACGAATGGCCAATTTTACTTGCCATGCAATACTAGAGCTCAGATTAATTTGAAATTTAGTGGGAAAAGTTGGAGTATTTCTGCTGAAGACTTGGTTCTGTATCCTCCGAACAATGGAACTTGTTTAGGAAGCATTCAACAAGGTATCAAATCACTGGGTAATTCACGATGGTTGCTTGGTGATTCCTTTCTTAAGAATGTATATAGTGTGTTTGATTTGGACAATAAACAAGTTGGATTTGCATCTCTGGCTTAACTCATTGTTCTAGTTATCTAATAATTTCGGAGACTTCCTTGCTTTACATACTGCATAATTAGTGATGTGCCGCGCAAAAATTTTTTTGGAATATTCTAGAACAAATCATTAAAGTAGCCCTATCTCAATTTTTTGATTATGAAACTGTCTTTCGCATTCTAACAAAAATTATTCCTTGCACAATGTTGCATATAACTAATTTATAAATGCTACATCTATTACGTATGCTATACACACTATACAACTATACGTACTGTACGTACTGTGCGCGAAAAAAATTCAGATATCATATAAATGGCACAACTATATGCATAACTATCGTATAGTTAAAGGAATATTATACCTTTTTATTTTATATATTTTAGTTTTATTAGTTATCTTATTTTTATTATATATATTGGTTATATTATATAATTATTATTAGCAGATATAGTATCGTTGATAAATATAATATATTTTTATCTTAGTCAACGAACATGTAGAAATATCCCCAATTTCTCGATAGTTCAATACGCATTCTTATTAAATAAAACACTATATCGTGTCTTCTTACACAATATAATTGATTGTTAAGAGATTTAATAATCTTGGTCATGTGACTAACATGAAGAGATTTCACAGTCACATCTGTCTATTTTATTGTTGAACTAGTTCGATAGGTGGCGCTCCGAACCACCTACCTTATTCAGTATTTTATTTAAATCATTAGACGTATTGTTAAATTCTATTGCAGAACTTGCAATGCTCAGAGTATGTAGTTAAATTTGAATAAGTTGTATCGGAATTATTATTATTTCTATTATGATTAAATTTATTGTCCGATGCGTAGCGAGGACTCTATGATAGAGCAATTGACATGATTTGTGTTGGATTCCAGTCATGTGATCAAATAATTGCCAATCAAACTGTATAAATTGACACGGATCAGCCCAACAGCCGATAATAATACTTATACGTATTTTTAGCTTCGGACATTATCCTAGTATATACAATAGTTAAGGTTGTACGTACCAGCTAGTGAAAGTGGCACAGAGGTCACGGGCATGCCATCATGGCATAACCTCTGTAGCTCGGGAAAGTCTCCGGAACCTACCAGCCCTACCAATTCGGGTAATTTTTGTACCTACCCTAAAGTAAAATCACATGAGCTGGTAGGTGTCCGGTAGGGTGTCCAGGATTATGTTGCGAAGATGGCCAAATTATGCATGCGACAAGTTGTAAATTATGCAGAATTATGCAAGTTTTTGACCAAAATTATGTACATATTATGCGCAATATTAAAAATTATGTAAAATATGCGATTTCAAATTTTATTTGTTATTATTAGTGCTCTGATTGAAATACATCATATTTAACATTTCAATTGTTTCAGAAGAAAGTGCATGCTGGTTATCAGCTAAAATATTTTTGTATGCAGAAAAACTATGCTCAACATTAATGCAGAAATTGGAACCCAAATATACTTTAAAGCAATTCTACTTAAAGAAGGTAAAAGAGAAGTTTTTTCTAACCAATATTCCTTCAAATTAAAATCTGACTCAAAAATTTCATTTCTGTCACAATATATTCTCTATTCATGAATTAATTGATTATTTGGTTCATTGAATTCTGAAATTACTAAGTATAAAAAAAGACTTTTCCTAGTAGCTTGTTAACAAATCCATCAAGGCTCAAAACATTGAATAGCTCTAAATAGAACAAGTGTTAAATGATCTGCAATATGATTATTAAATTTGCTTAATGCTAATTTAAAGGCTTTATGAAACATAGTTATATAAGATTCAGAATTAATACTTCTTGTAATAAATTCATTATTCATTTGAGTACTAAAAGACAGATTAATTATTTCATTTTCTAAAAATGCTTGAATTTGTTCTATACGAGATAAAATATATAAAGCAACAGATTTGTTTCGAATCTCAAAAAATTCTAAATTATTTACAAGCTTAAAATAAAATATTATATTAGTAATTAATTAATAAATAATTTAATAATTTATATATTATACATATGATTATGCATTAAAAGTTATAAACATAATAATTATTTTTAAAAAAAATAAATGTTCACAATTTTGAAATGATCTATTCAATTCTTGAAGTACATTACTTGTTTTGTTACCTATAATTATATTACAACTTTGACTATTTCCACATCTACAACTATTACTGATATCACTTTTGCACTTACATCTATTATTACTATTGGTAAATATAGATACAGATATAGCATCAGTAGTAGTGATAAATATAAGTGCAGAAGATATGGTAGCAATAGTAGTGGTAAATGTTGGTAAAGAAGATATAGTAACAGTAATAGTAATAGATATTGGTATAGGCATGATATTGGTAGTAAATATGGGTATAGTTGTAATATCAGTAATAGTGGTGGATGTAGGTGCAGATGAGATATTGATAGCAAGTATAATATCATTAGTAGTAGTAGATATAGGTGTGAAAGATTTAGTAACAGTAGTAGTATCAAATATTAGTACAGGAGATATAGTAGTAATAGTAGTAGTAGATGTAGATGCAGAAGATTTGATATCAGTAGTAGTGCCGGATATTGGTACAGGAGATATAGTGGTAATAATAGTGGTAAATGTAGATGCAGACATAATATTAATAATAGTAGATGTAGATGTAGGTATAATATCATCAGTAGTAGATGTAGATGCAGGTGTGTTACTAATAGTACTTGTTGTAGGTGTAAAAGATATGATAGTAGGAGATATAGTGGTAGTAGTAATAGTAGCTATAGGTGCAAGAGACATAGTGATAATAATAATGATAGTTATAAGTGCAGAAGACCTAGTAGCACCACTATTGCTACACTTGCACTTAAATCTACTACTATTATGACCAGAAAAATAAAATATTTAATTAAAGAATTAAATACTCTTATCATAAGAAATAATTATAATCCTAAAAATGATAGTGTTAATACTAATGACAATGTTAGTGTTCTAATTCTAGTACAAGTTTTTAATAAGATTTTACACATGAAAAAAAATAAATACAGTATTAAATATGAAGTGATTAGAAGCTGATACAAGTTTTTACAGGAATTTAAATGTCAAGTCAAGGAAAAACTAAGTAAACATCAAACCAAAAAAATATAATATCTAAAATATACAATAAACTAATAAAACATATTTCTATTATACATTTAAATTTAAGAAAAAGGATTGAAAAAACAAATAAGATGTATAGATTATTTGAAGGAGTTGGTGTTAAAAAAATTAAAAGGATTAATATCACAACAGCAAATAAAATTTTTAATTTTTCTTAATAACAAATAGATTTAATAATTTCTAATATATTTAGTAATTAGTCATTATTATTAAATAAATAAATAATTTGTTTCTTTACTTATCATATTTTAGACAAGCTATGTATTTTTTAATATATTTACTATTATAACAAATTACTTGAACTTTTTAAATTGAATTTACTAATAGATTTGTAGGTACTAATTTTGTATTATAATGTATTGTATTACTTATACATGTGTACTAATTTGAAAATAAAATAAAAAATATATTATGAGAATTTTTAAATTTATTCTATTGCATAATATATTTTTTATTTTACTTTCAAGTTAGTGCACATATACAGTTTAATACAATATATTATTATACAAAATTTATATCTACAAATCTACTAATAAATACACTTTGAAAAGGCCTACTATATTGTTACATTGCTTGAAAAAAACTAGTATTTTTAAATGCATATATAATAATAATTAAATTTTTTTAAATCTATATTATCATATTATATAGTAATAGTTTAAATTATAAAAATATAAATATATATATAGTTCTTCTATAAATATTGCATAATTTGAAATTAGCATATCATACAATTGTCTTAGTGTTACCAATCAAAAAATTTTACATAACTAATTAAAATTTAGCAATTATCCAAATTTTAAAATTTTTAAACTTCTAATAAAGGTTTCTTAATAACTACTTGACCAAATTTGTAAATTCTTATTTTTTTAATCCTATACTTTTGTAGAATAAAAATAAAAAAATTATTAAATTTGGTTTAATGGTTATCAAGAAATATTTTAGAAAATTAGAATACTTTAGACAAAGAATTGAAAATTAGTAAAAATTTTCTTTTCTAAGCTTTAAGCAAAGATTTCTCAACAATCATCTATCCAAAATTCAATAAATTTTTTATTTTAATTATAGAGTTTATAGTATTAAAATAATAAAAAATTTATTAAATTTGTATAAATAGTTGTCAAGAAACATTCATTAAAAATTAAAAAACATTTAGCTACAGCTTCTTTTTTAAAAATACCTAAACTTTAAATTAAGATTATCTAATACATACCTGGCTAAATTCAATCAAAATTTTTTTATTTTGATTTTATGAGAATATAGAATCAAAATAAAAAATTGATAAAATTTATCTAGTAAATGTGCATTAATGTACATAATTTTGAATCATACATATTTTATTATATTTAAATTTTAGATATAAAATTATATAATTAGGCATGATCATATAATGCTAAGTAAAATTAAGAAATGGTTAGAAAATTTTGAAAAGAAAATAAATATAAAAGAAAAAAAGAGTTGGGCAAAAATTTAAGCTATTATTTAATATTTTCTAAAGAAAAAATATAAAAATTTATATTATGCAATAGTATGTGCATTAATATATATATTATTGTATGTTATGAAAAAAAAGTGCATTTTTTTCATCTATAACTGTAAACTAGTTTATAATTAAGTTTGAGAACTGTGAACTAGTTTATGATTGAGTTTGAGGAATGTGAACTAGTTCATGATTGAGTTTGAGAACTGTGAACTAGTTCATAATTGATTTTGAGGACTATGAACTAGTTTATAATTAACTTTAAGGACTATAAACTAGTTATGATTACTTTAAAGATTATGAATAATAATGGATTTCATGAATGCACATAATTTTTCAATTATGTATATGAATTTGAATAATGTGTATTTTATTCTATCTAAATTT